TAATTAAAGTGTAACAAAAAAGCAGCATGTGCAACAAAGGAAATTTGAAATATTGTTCTTTAAATACACTGAACAAGCATGTAAGCGTAAAAATAATGAACATGCAAGATGGACTAATTTATTGTGAAATCTACTTGATGTCCAATTCTATGCAAAGAGAGTTAATACGAACCTAAATATTGTGTGTAACACGAGAGATTGACAGGAATATAGGAACGTAAATCCTTGTTGATCCTTGTGGTGCGAATGGATGAAAATCTGTTGTAATGGTGGAATTTCCGCGTGCGATGATGTTAAGTCGATGCATCAGCGGCTTCGACGGTAGTTGCTCGAAACACGACTACCTCGGAATTAATGGCGACGTCTAGCGTTGTCGTGCTCAGTGTGAGAAAATAATGTTTTCCGGAGCCGTACTCCGTTCGTCTACGAAAAGCTATTAACGTAACGGGGAGCAAACGCGACCGAAGTCAGTGGAAAAGTAAAAGAGTAATCACGATAATGGACCAGGCGCCTGCAGGTAAGGAATGAATGTTGTGACCGGACGATTCGGCGAAGCGCGGTCTCGCACAGTCCCGCTCCAGACGAGCATGTTAACGTTCCATCTTAACTTAACCATAATCGTTATGATTTATCGTTTTAGCATTTTAATTAGTCAGAATTGTGGATTCTTGTGTTTACGCATAATGGAAATTGTGCGGCACGTTTAAAGAGAGAATGACAAATTGTAGATTCTAGATAGTAGGGTTATGTAAACCTGTGCAACGAGTTAGATTATGATTAAAAAAGAAACGGTTCGGTCGACAAGTTAAATTATCCCGAGACAAGTTTCTGTAGATACGTTCACGAAGCAATAAGCTTCAAAACAGATTCAGTATTCCAGGTCGCAACGGGCTGATTTAGGACTGCATACTTTAAAAATAAGAGATATCCTATTTCAGTACTGTATTTAAATATTGCCATTTTATCTAATAATAACTGTGATAAATAATTCAGATTTGCCAGATCTCTGGCCTAATTCTGTTTATTCTTGGTGTAATACCCAGATACAGAGTTAAGGAACATCATTGACAAACTGGCACAGTTTGTTGCACGGAATGGACCGGAGTTCGAGCAGATGACGAAAAACAAGCAAAAGGACAACCCAAAGTTCGGTTTCCTGTTCGGTGGAGAGCACTTCAACTACTATCAGTACAAAGTGACTACAGAGCAAGCCAGTAAGTGGGATACAGCCCCTTAACAGCTACAACAATTGAGAAGCATAATGGCCATGCTTTATTCAACCAACGAGGAATGACTTTGAAAAAAGAGAAATACGGGTGGAAGGGTCGGAATTCGTCGTAGTGAACGTACAAAAACTATTATTCAGCGAAATATGAGCACTTCGATTCAAGATTTTGGGATTGCTATTTAATTAAGCAGAATGCTTTAGCTAAAGACATATTCTATTTCTTGGCAAATGATGATTTTGAGAAGATGTAGCTTTAACATTCTTACTGGAGCTTCTCTAATGCGGACTACGTTATCGATATATTGCTTCAATCTATATGGGGAATATAAGCCCATTAATACCCTGTAATACCCTAGTACTATAAAAAAAGTAAAAAAATACATGTGTGTGTGTATATATATATATATAAAAATATAAAACAGGGAAAGAGTATAGTGCTCCTAAAAAGCTTACCGAGTTTTCGATATAATTATCTCCTAAATGCCAAGAGTTTTATTATGCACTGGTAGAAGATAAAACTCAACAGAAATTGGACTATTTGTATACTTTTTCAATATCCATTGAAGGAATCAAACATCTTACAATAATCCACCGTCATTCGTTTACAGTTTTAAAGCAAAAAGGAATAAATCCAATGCAAAATGCAGACCCACGTTTAAACGTTTCGCAGCAGCAGCAAACAGCCGCTACCGTCGCGCAGCCTCTGAATAACGTCAATCTTGCGCCTGGCCTAAATACTCAAAACAATGGATTGAACCCAGTTGTGGGGATTGGACCAGTAGGGAATCCAGGTGGCCCAGTTATACCTGGGGTGCCAGGACAAATTGGAGGGCCAGGAAATGCGGGACCGCCGATCGGACCAGTACCCGCTATGGGAGGTGTGAACCCACCCATCGCTGGTGTTACGCAACCGGTTAACATTGGAGGACCCCCTGGATGGCTTCAGAATGAATTAGCGAACCTTCAGTCGCAGCAGACGACGCTACAGGAACAAGTTAGACAATCGGAACAGAATCTGGCTGCGCAACATGCTGCATTGATGGCACAGCAACAAGGAAGGGTTGAAGATGCTGTGAGGCAAGCTCAAGAAACAGCTTTACAGAACAGTGCGCAGAACACGAACACAGATCTCACTGCATTCGACGCTGTATTGCAACCTATTATCGATAGTTGCACAAAAGACAGCATAAGTGCAGGGAAGGCCTGGATACTTCAGAACTCGGTTACTCCTCAAAGCAATCAAGTGGTTGCGGATCATTTGTTGAAAAAGTATGTACAACCTTGACTTCGATTATGCATAATTAGTAAGAAATTGTTTAATTTTCAATTATTTCTTCCAGAGTAATCCAAGCGATCAATTTTAGCCATAAACTTCATATTATCTATTTGGTGAACGATGTTTTGCATCACTGGTAAATATATTTATTTTTTTTTTAAGTGGAATTTTATTTCGGAATATTCATCGACATCGAATCTCATCCTTTTTTCTTAACATGAGTGTCCTAGTACAATAAATACGTTGTATTTTATGATTTTATTTACAATATGTAGTGAACGTAGTTATTTGATAATTTGCATAAAAATATAGTCGCGCACGGTATTTAATCTGAAACTTCTTTAGTGCAAGAAAAAAGTCTATGGATCTTCGCAAGGCAATGGAAAGTGTTGTTGTTCCCATGTTCTGTAACACCTCACTAGCTGCATCAGAAGAACAACTTAATAAATTAAATAAACTATTGAGTTTGTGGGAGTCAAAAAATAATTACTTTGATGAAGGAATTATAGATAAATTAAAACAGCCAAGTGCGTCTTGGTCTGAATATCAGGCAAACCTGGTTGCCCAACATGCCAGCGCAATCACACCGATCACTGCATCGACGAAACAGACTTTTGACAATTATCAAGCGCAGCATCAAGCGTTCGTTACGCACGCTTTAAGACAAATTCAAAACATTGAGCAACAAAAGATAGCAATTGATCAACAATTAAAAGCCCCACCTCCACCGCCGCCTCAATTGGCAAGTTACTTCATAATACGCTCATTTACGTTTTACATACTCTAATGAAAAATTACAATTTGCAGAATCAGCAAAGTATGCCTATGCCGCCTAGTCATTCCGGTCCTCCTGCGCCAATAGGCACGGATGTAAATTTTAGTCAACCGCCACCCGGATGGGGTGTGCCTCCTCAGGGAAATGACCCACCGCCATTTACGAACGTTCCATTACCAGATTTCTCAAAGCCTCCGCCGGGCTTCGGGCCACCGCCTGTTATACATGAGCCTTCCGTCGAAGATTTAATGCCTAGTATGCCTTATTATGAACTTCCTGCTGGCTTGATGGTGCCTCTGATCAAGTTAGAAGATGCCGAGTATAAACCTTTGGATCCAGAGGCAATTAGGCTTCCACCACCTGCCCCACCTAGCGAACGATTAGTAGCTGCAGTCGAAGCGTTTTACGCGCCTCCTAATCACGACTCTCCACGAGACAGGTAAAAATAAATGGATCAATAACGGTTGAGATACTAAAGAATATTTTAAAATGCAATGCTTGTGTATTACAGTGACGGTTGGGAAAAATTAGGTTTATACGAGTATTATAAAGCAAAGAACGCAGCACGTAAACGCAAAGAGGAAGATATAGCGGCCGGAATAAGGCAGAAATCAAAGTCACCGTCGCCGATCCTAAGACCAAGGTCTAAAAGTCCTAGTCCACCAAAGAAACGGTATCGAAGTAAATCACGAAGTAGATCGCGTTCAAGATCGAGGGGTAGAAGCAGATCGAGATCGCCCGCTGCCAATCACAGGCGGAACAGCCGCAATAGTAATCATAATAATAGAAGTAGGAGAAGGAGGAACAGCAATAAAGATCGGAGTCCCGATAGGCGAATGGATAGGCAAGATCGAAGCCCGACCCCGCCTAGCTTTCTGTGAGTAGTCTTTACTCGCAGATACGAAACGTGTAGAAAAACTCGATTTCTACTGATTAATTTGTTTCAGTGGATCGATGTATAGTAAAGCTCCTCAAGAAATTAGTTTGGACGAGAGTAACAAAGGTCATCAGTTGTTGAAGAAGATGGGTTGGGGTGGTGCGGGACTTGGTGCCAATGAACAGGGTATTGAAGCTCCGATATCGGGCGGTGAAATTAGAGATAAAAATGATCAATACAAAGGCGTCGGTATTAATCTAAATGATCCGTACGAGAACTTTAGGAAGAGTAAGGGTCAAGCATTTATCACTAGGATGAAAGCAAGAGCGGAGGAACGTGCCGAAGAGAGGGGTGAACGGGACTGAGTATAATCGAGTAAATTAATACATTTTGTCTATAATCCTTTTGATGAGATGTATAATAACTATCGCCTGCAGTATCAATTCGCAAGAACGATCCCTGATTGTGGTCGACACAAGTTTCCAGCAGTCAGTCCTCTTTAATCGAATAATTCATGTGAAGAACGATTTCAGTGATCTTTCTATATTTTTTCAATTAGGGTAATAAATACATCGACTTTCGTATGTATTTACATTTATGTTACATAGTCATCGTTTATTATTGAGATCGCAAAGTTACTTCTGTACATGTTATATGTATAATTTTATATTTTCGTTAACAATAACGATTATTTTATACTTTTAAAGATTTCGAGAAAGTGTATGTCCCGGCATTGTGTCGATCATCCGCGGGTGTAAACCAATAATCTGTACATTTCCGTTAGGAATATACTGCGAGTGAGTGATGAGAAAAATTGAGACAATTGTTTATAAAAGAACTGAACCAGTCAGTTTATAAATATAAGGTTTAAGTAAGTTTACGATTACGATGCGCACTGAGAGTGGCTGTTGTATACTAAAATTCAATTTTCGTGGTGCATAATTCGAACGAGAAATACAATTTTATGCATCCCTTGTACATTGTGTACAAAACTATTGGATCTTCGGTAAGGTTACCTAAGAATAGACGATTTGGCTGCGAATTGTTTACAAAACATTTCGTTGATATTAATAATTAACCATACCAAAAGGAGCGGTTGATGCTGACGTCGAAGGAATCGCGCGGCCAATGTCCACCGTCAACATAAAATACGCAAGGTTACATTATAATTGTATCTCACGTGACATTTTGTACTAAAAATTCATTCTGCTCCCATATGAAACAATGTACCGATTGTCCGTCTATGGGGACGGGAAGATCCTTATCGTGCAGGTATTTGCACGTGGTGACGTTTGCAAAAATGAAACTAAAAGAAGTACTTGTATTTAGTAAGTTAATAAATGATTATATTGGATACATAAGTGTAAATCAGGGAATAAGTGACGCATGTTTAAACGACTGAAAGGAAAAATATAAAAAGCGTGGACGAGAAAGAGCGTTCATAATTAGAATCAACACGTCTTCAATGCGTGCTGTAATGACGTATATGAAGAGCCATCGGAAATGAAGAAGATTAATTTAATCAATTGGAAGATATCCTAAAATAATAATGTTCTTAGATTCGTTCTACGCCAAAGTGTGTGTCTATCGGGGATCACGTGTATCCGGATTTAAAGAAAATTGAAAAAAAAATCCAGTAACCGGCTATGGAACGGCTCGACATCCGATGGCACTGTTGATCATCACATTTGCCTTCTTGAACTCCCCCAGCAGCAGTTGATATCGAAACCGAATAAATCCACCGTCGAACCGGTTTCGCAGCGATAACAGTCAAGAGCTACACACTTGGTGGCGTAAACAGAGTCGGAACGATGTATACGACTCAAAAGCTATCCTGCAAGGTCATTCTCGATTTTTATACTCTTTTTATACCACGTGATGTTCTTTTATCAGTATGAAAATTACATACGAAAGAATAAAATGTTTACGTCAATTTCCAAACGTCGTACGGGTTTTAGATACGGATATATCTACACGTTATATTAAAGAAATAGTTCATCTGAATCACGTAGCTTACTTTCTACTTTTTTTTTTATTATATTTTGATGTCATGCGACGATAATATGATTTGATAATGCTTCTTGAAAATCTCAAAGATAAGCGATTCTGTCCCGGAAATCGTAAACATTGAGTTTCGATATTTCTGCGGTATCTAACGTTCTCCTTGGAAGTGCTCTACAGTTGAAGGCAAAGGTCAGAGATAAAGTGCATTAGTTGAAATGATGGAAAGGAAACAGGAGTACGGATTACTAAATTAATACAAGGAACTATTTCTCCTTATGCGAGCTATCACACACGGACAGTATTATTATATCAGTATCATTATGTAGTCGTGTCGACGCACTTGATGACAATGCATTTAATTTTCTGCCTATATGATCGATAATTAGATAATTTTACAAAAATAATGCAAACACGAGGAAAAAGTGTTCGATTATCTATGCCGAAACTAATCGGAGATCGACGGATTTTTTTTACAAAACCCATTGAGATCGCGCCATTGCTGATTATGAAAAGCGCGATAGAAACAAACTGATCGCCGAAAACTCAGCTTTCGCTGATCTGATTAGTAACCGGACGTCTCCTGAATCGAGGGACGGTCTTATATTTAAATGGGCCGGCTGCATTCGTGGGAAAACGTATTCGTGTGCGCACAAGTTGTTCGACTGATGCAGCACGTTTAAGCAAAACGTGACACCGGACGCGGAATGTATGCGAAGATAAAAAGTAGATTACTTTAACGATTTGGCAGCAGCACGTATCCATTGGACGCACACGCCTGCTGCGAAAGTGTTATTTTTAGAACGTAATTGTTTAAGTCCGCGAGAAGAGAGAGATATTCTTGGAGGAGAATTCCAATTAAGAAATTAGCGAAGGAAAAGTTTATATAATACATTGAATAAAAACTTCCCTTTTTAATCTCTTTCGACATTATTTTCAACAGTAATAATGTCTATCGTTACGTACATGAATTTCGTCAGTGAAACGTATAGTTTATAACACGTTCGATCCTTCGAAGTGCATAAAATATACATGTACTTCGTGACCTTTAAGATAGGCTTCATTGATGAGGCAGGTATCTAATTTTACAACACGTCGTATCATACATATAGGGTACGAAAGACGAGAATAGATAGATAAAATCATGATAGTTTACACGTTGCACTATTCCGAGCGTGTGACTTTTTATCACTAAGCGAGACAAGTGTCACGTTACTGTCTACAAGTAACAGGCGCCGTGTATCGTTTTACCCTCGTATATCAAGATTTTCACGGACGCTGTCGAATTAGAGCTCCGGCCTTTCAAGTACACACACGGAACCATAAAAGGACGCGTTACAGTCGCTTGCGACACGTTGCAACGTACAATCGATGAGAATAGAAAAGAGGCGAAATCAAATTCTTATTGGACTCCTGAAAAATAAATTTCGCACGTATTTTTGTACATTTTATCATCAGAATGTATATATCATAATGTACTGCGATATATACAAAAGGAGCTGTTCGGTTTTACAATCAAGTACTTTGAAAGTCGACTATAAATCACGATTCATCGTGGAGGTAACAGGTGACCTCATAGTAATCAGAAACCGGATCTCGTACTCGACGCGCGTATTTAGGCCGGAAGTACGAGTCCGAGAAGTGCTAGGGTTCGCTTTAAATAGTCACCCGCGCTACTGGTTTCCTTATATGTATGCAAGTACGAATAACGCGACCATCCTTGATTTCAAACGAATATTTCAAATTATCTATTTGTGGCATTATATGTAATTAACTTCTCGTTTCGATAGCGGTGGAATTTATTTAAATTTATTAATATACGGTATCCCTCAATTAAGACATTTCTTTTTATTAAAGAGAACTGCTTACAAATAGAACTGTAAAACACAGAGTGGAATAATGAACGTCTAAAACGTGATCGAGATAAAAAGATATTTGATCATTTAAATTAATGGTGCGGCTAAAGCCAAACATTCCCGAATCCTTTCATCATCGATCGAAAGATCAAACTCTCTTCACGAACAGTTTTCCTTGGTCTTGTCACGAGGAATTCTGCAGCTCGTTTTCTTTGTAGAGAAGGACTTTAAACAGCCCGAGCGTTCATCCTTTTTCTTTTTCGCCTCGGCACGATTCTCTCTTTTCAAACACGCACGCAATGAGACGGCACGATGAACGCCGCGGCGATCGGCATACCTGCGTGTCAGCCGACACGGACAGAGAAAACGGGTTAGCGTGACTCGTGAATTAGAGAGAAACGCGTGCATTCGCAACACCACGGCGGGAGAGTGGATCGAGGAACGAGGATGGAGCAAGAAGCGGGTCGGAGCGAGTGGGACAAGGACGAGGAGCAAGTACCGCGTTACGTTCCACGTGATCGAGAGAAGGGCACGCCTCGGCCGTCGAGTCACGCGCTCGACCACGCGTTTACCCTTACAGACACGCCGACACGTGCACGCAATGTATCTGATCGAGCACTCGGCTAAACCACTGCGGCCGTGGAACGGACTGCCGAACGGAGCCACACGGTGCACTAATCTTTTGGACATTGCTCCGTTATGTGCGCGTCGAATCGTGAATGGCCCGACGCCCGCCTTGTTATACCGGGTCGGGCAGACTTCGGTAATGCAACCGCTTTTTACTCGACTCTATTTAGATAACGCAACTCCCCGATTGTGTAACACTCTCACTGCGGTGTGTCGCCGTTTTAGAATTATTGACTCCGATGGACAGGTAACCGGAGGACAAACATATTACGTAGCACGAACCCGAGTTGTAGCGTGTACTGGAATATGTCATATTGTATCGTACACTTGTTTCAAAAGGATTACTGGTTGATATTATCGACTCTTATGAAACCTGTCGCTATTACGAAACGCGCTAATTTCGGAAAGATAATATAGTTTTCCATTATTTTACATCGAATGCTGTTGCGCACACGGCCGGGAGGTGAGATAATATCGTGGCGCATTGTTCGATCGAATCGCGTGATGAAAAGCAGTGAGGCGCGTGGGATTTTCAGGTTCAAGTGCGAAATGTGCCCGGAGTTGGCTCCTTGGGAACGCGCGGACCTATCAGGATCTCTTGACGGAAATCGAGAGCTGTTCCAGGGTTCGAGGGGCGCGGGCGACGTCACGGCTATAATTACGTATCGGCCTAGCGAATGTTCTAATTTACCAAGGACAAACGAGCGGACAATTCTGCGAGATTTTCAGACGATAACCGAGGGGAAGCTCCACGATGCAGTGGCGATGCAATCACCGTGATGTAATTGCTTTCACGTGCCCTCACTCGACCCTTGTGCAAGGTTCCTTTTTTTTTTTTCCTCCTTTTTACTGTTCTAAAACCATGGCCAGATCAATTTCACTTTGTCACGTCGTTGCTAATTCACTTCGGTTTTACATAATCGGAGCTGCACGTCCCGCGAAGATTGCGTAAACAAATTAAAACGAAACAGCGTGCTGAAGAAACGCTGATGCATTCCATCGAATTTTTGGAAGATTCGCACGTGACACGTGACGATGACCGAGGTACGAAAATATATGCGTACTTCCCGTGACAATGGCCATCGGAAGTATGCAAACTTTTATGCTGAATATTCATCGGTGTGTGTGTGTGTCCACCCACGGTGACCGTTCTATCTAAAAGTCACGTAGGCGCGCGGCGGGACGTGGCCACCGTTTGAACGGTGCATAATTTAATTCCAGCACAAAGAGGAATCCGTCGAGCGCTCTAGAAGGAATTTAAATTGCTCTGTCTCGTGGCAGAATCCGGAATCAAAGGTTAAAGATCTGGCCACGATAACCAGCGAACGTTACGCCCTATCAGACCCCAGCTTCTCGTTCCCGGCTACGTTCGTGTGCACCGAAATATCGCCGCTTAGACGTCACGTTCAATTGACGAGTATTAAGATCAATAATTCTCTTTTTTCGGTGCGGTCACAGAGCCGGGCTCGATTAATACACGGCACACGTATTAGTACTAGTGTACCGGGTCAAGAATAACTCGCAGTTGCCACAGATCGCGTTTATTTTCTCCCGAGCCGTGCAGAAAATAAGACGCCTATTTTCGAATTGGTCGCGTTACGCGTGTACTCGCGCATACGTCAAGTTCGTAGCCGTTTTAAACAGGTACGGCCGGCCAAAAAGTTCACGTTCTCGGTAACGTGAAACATTTAACCTGAACCCGTTGTGCACCGCGTCAGCCGAGTTCTCTGTCTCTCGTTTCGCCGAGAGCGTAGCTCATCGTTAAATATGGCCAGGCCTGTCTGTGATTCACTGTTCTTTAACGTAACAATGCAGTTTATCGTTAATCGAAGAAATTATGATCGTTTCTTAAAATCGTCGAGATTGCGTTCAATGCACGTACTCGACACGTGGTTCAAAAGATTATTTGCGAATTAGATTGTTGTCCGTCTGGAAGTCCACCGGGACAGACGTTTATATAATCGCAGACTCTTATACTTTCTAGTCCGTTTGTGGACGTCCAACGTCATAAAAATGTTTCGTAACGTGTAAATCTCGATCGAAAAAAAAAACGCATCATTAGCTGCATTCTTTGAACGCGTTCGGTCCGTTTAATTTCTTTTCAGTTTTAATGCAGTCGCGCGTGATCGACCAACGAGCGAGTAATCACCTGCGAGAGGTGTTCGTTCGCGCGCGTTACGCATAAGTAGAAACGAGATCTGGATTCCGCAGGTGACCCGTAAAACTAGAAAAGTATGTCGCCTAGAACTCCGTGCTCCGCGATATCGCTATTGAAATCGATTAACTCTGCAGTTAAATCGACCAGACTTCAGCGTTTCCGCTTCAGCCGTTTATAACGGAGACGTGTGACGACCGTACTTGCAAAGCTTACCTCTTTTCCAACCATTACATTATTTAAAAGAGACCTGCTCAGTTGGTAATTGACGGTTGCGAGCAATTCGGATTTAATTCTATAGATAAATGGATGTAATATTTGAAACGTTCTACTTTTCTACTTTTATTTCATCGTGCTGCGAACCGTATTTCAAACACATTGGCTGGTATTCAGAGTAGTTACTTATACATATTTAAGATCGCCTTAAGCATTTGCTTAAGGTAGCTCGCTATTTGGGTAACGTATCAATAGATCCTACAATGGGCTTATTTTAAAATAAGAATATGAATTGAAAATTTTATTGTTAAATATATATTACAATTTCCACATATAATAACAACATACATATATGTATATAAAATACGTAATACGGGCTATTCGAGGCTATCTATATTCCTATTATTTTTTTTAATGTCGTCTTCCAAATAGCAAGTTGGCATTTAAATTCATTCGAATCGTCGATAATGAATAAAGATAATCCGTGCGTTAAAAACAAACGCCCGGAAGACGATGGACGTCGTTCTCGTGGACGGATCCGCCGAGTACGCGAATGGCGAGACGCGAGTAAACACGTCGTCGTTGAGGCAGAGAACGAGAGCTACTATCATTACACCGCGTGTCCTCGTGTCACGGCGGGGCCTGAATACCAGTCAAGTCCCTGCTATAAATCAAACCGAAATAAAAAGCATGGCTCAAACTGGCTACCTCACCCCCACAAGCCTTTATGTTCCTAGACAAGACAGGCCTCATCCAAGATGAAAACAACCTCCCCATTCTATACCACTATCCCAGACACCAGGCTAATAAAGCAATTCTTCTTGTACCAAACTACCCCATACTAAAATACGCTAAAACCCTGCCTAACGTTGACATCAAGTATAACTATTTACAAAAACGGTAAAAAATATTGGTGGCTATCCGAAGACGGAAGACACAACGATGATGTACGTCGTAGAGCTAGAAGACTCTCACAGCAATAAAATTAATGTCTGTCCCCGACGCAGGTTGTTCATCGGCTCCTACCTTTCTTAGCGCCTTGTGACGAAACATGCTTACCCTTCGTAACTAAAATAATAGATCCCACATTTTGTATTGGTTTTTTTATTTGTTCATTTGCACCAAATTATATTATATTGCATCTGCTAAGCAAATAAATCATGTTTAAAAAAAAAAAAAATACTCGTCGAGTCCATGATCTGCTCCGTTTCGAACGGGAGAACGAAAAAGAGCGAGACCAGCGGCGTCCACGACGTCCATGGCACGCAGACCGTGATCGAGAACGGAAGAAGGAGAGGTGCACCGTGCAATGCGACGAGAGAGACGGTTCTCTCGGAAGGCAGCGGAGTGATGCAGTTGTGGAAAGCAGCGGCGGTGGCACGGGGAAAGCGGGTGGTTCGAGCGCGTGACAGGACACGTGACCGAGAGCACACGGTGCTCGCGTGACCGGCCCCGTGACGTCACGCGCACGTGTCACATAGCGTGGTAACTACTGCTCACTTGTCCCTCTCCTCGTACGCTTAGTCGTCCCGGCGAACGTTCTCCACCTTCCTTCGCTCCAACGCGGGTTCACCACTCCGCCCGTGTTGGTCAGTAACGTCTCAAGCCCACGCTTCACCCTCCTCGTCGCGAACTTTCACCTGAAAACGCTTTTTTTTTTTCCTCCTCCTTCCGCTGTTCGTCCTCGCCGAGACCACAGAATTCTAGCTTCGTCGGTCCGCGCGGTCAGATTTGCATCATCGGAGTCGTTACGTGACGTTGCTCGATCCTCCTCCGCGTCGAGGAAGGAGAAACGGAAAAAAATTAGCCGGTTTCTCCTCGGTGGAATTGTGCGCTCGAGATTCCAGCGAAATGGAAGGGTGAAAGCGTGCGCTCGAGAAATTTAGTCGTGAGTTCGGGGCGTCCGGTATAACGTTGACTCAATAGCACACTCTCGTCGCGCGGTGTCTCTGAGAGGAACGCGGTGGAATCTTATCTGACGCACGCTCGCAATAAACTCAATTAAGGTAATTCGTTTTCGCTATCTACCAGGGGGAATTTCTGATCCCTGAATTTCTGATACCGCCGAAAGATATATTACGCTCACTGAACGCTTCGGGACTCCACGGATCACGTGTGCGTCTGTTTGCTTCTGTCTACATCTCAGCGAACCGTGATACACGATAATGCAAGAGAACACACCGAGACTTATCGTTTAATTATTATCTTTATCGATTTATGATCCAAACTCACGCTCACGCGCGGGGACGTGGAAATCGCCGGCGCACGTTAGTCTTGTAAATGGAAGAATGCTTTCGTATCGAGCTATGAAGTAACGCCGATTTCATTAATCGAAGTAATCGACGTAAGGAACATAATAACAGCGATAATCATGATTGTCAGTGAATCAGAGCAGCAACAATGTTTAGGTAAAGATTAACCTTCTTTGTTTTTGTTTTCGCGTATCGGTACAGCTATTTCAAGATTGCCGTACAAATCGATCCACGTGTAACATTATCAACACGTGATGTACTAAGAACATATTGTCTTATCGAAATGTTTCGCAAAACTGCCAGACACACACTCATCGGCACGTTACTCTATCGCTCGGAGATACCGAAGATTACGCGAAAGCGAAACTACGTAATGGTCGCCCAGTTATTATCTATAATAATGACACCGTATTTCAATAGGAAGGTCGTTGAAATTAGCTAGATAAGGGAGTGCAAACGTGTATTTTGAGAATCGTAGCCAGTAGCCACTGTATCGTGTGCAGGAGAAATTACGATAACCGATCGAATTCGAGCCCCGAGTTGCGTGGCTCCCGTGATAATGGTTCCGTGCCTGAGACGGTTCTGGATCGCTCCCACCAGCAGCGGTCTGCGTACCACACGGCGGCCCATCGCGAGAATCGAACAGGGCCGCGCATTATACGCATAGTGAAGCCTGCCAAGCGTTTCTATACACGTTTCGATAGAGAGGATCCCGAGGTTCCTGTTTATTCAAGCTACCGCGCGCGAAGTTCCGGTTCGTAGATGAGAAAATCGGGAAGTCTGTGCCTGTCACGTTGACGCCGTTGAACAAGCGCGCGGGGGGTGCGTGCGATGAAAATTCAACCGCGAGCGTCACGTGAGCGTCGATCCATATAGCACTTACGTTAGATCTCGGAATCGTGTGCGCCGCAGCATTGCCGCGTGAAATTCGTAAAGTGCATGCGTACGCATCGCGGGAGGCGCGTCCATCACAGGGTTCGTATTGGACACGTTGACGCACGCGGCCCGTTAAATTCCTGCGGCCCTGCGCCAGTTAGTACATCGCGGAATTTCGCGGTCGAACGAGTCAACGGCCTTATCGTCGTTCGCATTTATACGTCCCAGGATCGTGGATCGTTCCTGCTTTTCCTCGTCCCGGTCGCTCGTGCGCGCGGGAACGATTCGCGACGAACAACCGCAGCGGGAACGGCTTCGTTAACACCGTCGTCGTTACGCTTGCAGGATCACGGGAGAAGATCGATCGGCGATCAACCGGCTTTGAGGAAAAGTAATAGAACAAGTAAAGGTGGAAATCGAGAGAGGTGGGAAGACGGTGTAGAAAAGAAGAGGGCGCCAGTACAGATATATCGGTGAGTGTGACTGGACGGAAAGACGTGGGCGATTCCCAAGTACCGGCCTCCCGGTCCGTCGTGCCGTTTCGGTGTGTCAGTGAGTTTGTGGAGGCGAACCTAACCTACCGCCGTTGGGTGCGCATTATCGATCAAGGAGCCATCGGTTTCAAGAGGACTCGGCTCTTTTTCTTTACTCCTTTCGAAGTACGGTTTACGTGTACGCGCAATTCTACTGTCTCGTAAAACGTGACCGTGGAATACGTATAGTTAAATTTCGCGCTCAATCGTTCGTCCAGTTTGGAGCAACCCGCCGTGCGTGATATACGAGCGTAAATTCAAAGAGCGAAGTTCTTCCTCGGTCCCCGTGTGAGAACGGATAGAGAGAGAGATAGAGAAAGGAGGAGGATAGTTAAAGAGAGACAGAGAGGAGAAGGAGAAGGTAACGGTGATAGCGACTGGAAATCGGAAGTGATCGTGTTGTGCATTGGAAACTATTCTATGCGGGAAGATGATGGAGACACAGAATTATTGGCAGGAAAACTCCATTGAAGTAAAATACGAAAGGTACGTGTCCTTAAACGTCCATTAAATACGAAAGTGTTATTCCCATTCCGTTGAACGATCACACATTGTTCCCCTTGTGATTTATCTATTAACGTGTCTCGCGCATGAAATATGAAAATTACATGCAATTATATGCACGCGTGTGAATTATTTTAGTCGTGAATAACAGTGCGGCATTCGCTCGCGACGTGAATCACCGTCGCATTCCAAATTCTTTCACGACGCCAGATGAACGTTCGACGCTGTCGACCTTGCCGGCACATTATTCAGTCTAATGCAATCCAAAAATATTTACACGGCTCTGCTCTCCACGAGGTGCATTGCTCATTAAGTAGAATGAGCGAACGCTCGCATGACTCCCGTCCGTGGGGTGCATTAGCTCCGCCGCTCTGTTCAACTTCGTGCACGTGGAACCGTTCAAAACAGCCGATCACACGGAATAAATGCGTAATGATTTTCGAAATTATTCCCGGATTAACACACGTCGCTTATGCAAGAGCACCACCGCGATGCGGACAAAATATAGGCCGCATCGCTGTTACGCTCGCACAGATTAATGAGGACTGATCTCAATTGATTAAAGTTATTTATGTACAATAATATTCCTCCGTTCGATCTACTCTGTACTTATTTTGTACCAGTGAAATTTGTTAAGACTGCACACATAATAATCGGTTGAAGCTGAAAGAAACGGACTTGTTGATTGTCAAGTAAATCATGCCTATCAGAAGTTTATAGCTTAAAGCGTTGTACATACATCTTATGATTCCAGATTACATTCTACTTCGTAATTCTTTCGAACAATTAAAAACGGATATACAATATGGTAGCAATTTTTGATACCATGATGCAACACTATATAAGATCCTTGAAAGAATGATTTCGCTTAAGACTGTACTTCAAGATTATGTCCAATATTTGAACTGATAAACTTTTAGGAAAAATGATATTTGCAGAGGNATTTTGCTATTCAATATAAGAATTCAAGATTTAATAACTTTTTCATTAGGCTTCCAAAGTTTCTAAAATTATCCACATTTTCCTATTAATGTACTATCTAATAATTATTAAAATTTCAATGTTTAGACATTGTTTTAATGTAACCGTTTATACAACTTTAATTATCTATTTGATCATTTTAATTGATCACAGAATTTGCACGACAGTAATTATTACATCGCAGTTGCATATCGAACAATAGTCATCAGACACTCTCGTGATAAGAATTTGTAAAACGGAAAGCTACAGTGTTATCGTTATCGCGAGCTTACAGGTGTTCGATTTTGACGTTCGTTCCCTCCCTACTCCTCCCTGTTCATTCCCCAATTTATACTGATAATTGATATGATATGAGCTTATCTCCGGAGGTCCATACGTCGCCGAAAAATTCATGGTCGCGTGAGAGATAAGATTGGTCGTTGAGACGAGGCTATTATTGAACATTGATTAAACTCTCATACTATAGGCACCGTACGCGTCCGTGCGCGACAGATTCGAACGCTGAAGACTTGGGAATTACATAAGAATCGACGATTAGAAAGATACAGTGAGTATTTGAAAATCGATCATCCGGCGTGAGTAAAAAATAATTACACGTTAATTACGCGTCGTCGGTTTTATAAGGCGCAACCGTCTTATTTAATGATCGATTCTACTCGTGATTAATGTCGATCTCGGGATCAATTGCTGCTGCAGCTCTCCATTTGCGGAGCAATTACACAACGGCGTACGTTTTTTTCGCTCTCCGGAGAGGACCAGAAATGGCCTAACGCTTCGATACACTGCGTACCGTTACCATGGCATCGAAAATTGAAAAGAAGTGTCTCAATCAGGCGTGTTATATTGATATTCATGACGCCTATTGTCAAGGAAAGTGACGTTTCCACGTATACTGTGTTCAGAAGCTTGACTTGAAGAGTGACTTTCACGAGTATGTCGGAATTACTGGTTGTAAACATTTAAGAGATCAGGAATAGATTGAAGACGATACGTAGGTATACTTACACGGGGTTCTACGAACCTATAATTTTAAGATAGTTTGAAACTAACAGAATTTTAATAGAAGCAGCTGCAAATAATTTCACGATAATAATTAGTAAAAATCGTGAAAGTGACGAAATGTTTGAATTTAGAATCACGATTTACGAAGTTACAATTTAATTATTATTGCAAAAGCAATCGTTGGGTGACCTACATTATGAATTCACGTGGTCACGCGAGACACCCTGTATATCGAGATGGCTAGTGGCTGCACTCGCAGTTGTAGCTATGTCGTTTCTTATAATGATATAGAGTAGAGTTTCGCATCTTGGCTGCTTGAACCGTCGTCGCATCGGGCATTGACACTGCTGATCGATTCGCATAGATTTATTTGAGCGTCATTTATATAGCGTGTGACTGTGTTCGCGGCCAGTGTCACATACCTTTTTGACCCCCGCCTTCAGTTGAATTTTAACTTCGAAACGGGACGATCATTCCTTGTCCCTCCCTTTCGTTCTTTGTTCAGATCGAAGCACAGTCAGCGATCCGAGGCGATCGTTTCTAACGTCACTATACTTAGTAGACCCAGCCGCGCGATGAAATCATTGTTTTTTAAAATCTCATGTAATAATGGCGCCGGTGACGTGGCATTGAGCTCGAATTCGTGAGAACTCGCGAGATAACGAAAATGTAAATTCTATTAACACGAGACGCCCCGTGTGACATTGCGTAAGACTTCTTCTGTTTGATTAATCGCCGTTCCGAAGGAGCAATAACTTCGCTCTTATCGAGCCGTACGTGCAGATAAGGCGTCGGTATCGATCGCTCGTAGATGGTTTAGATTGCGCGACGAGCGATTGTGCGGCGACACCCTCGCCGCGGTTTCGTGTCGCAGAAGATCACGTTGATTCGAATAAACAACCGCGTTATGTAGGGAAACAAACCCTCGGACACGTTCGCTGCGGAATGTCGTGGGTGGACACGTATTACGTGTTTTGGAATATTTATCGTGTCGTGTTTATACGTAAAATGTTGAAAACGATTTATGGATATTTATTAAATATTCGTGGCCAGTGGTAATTTCCGCAAGATGAGCCCGCGTTTATAATTATATGCTTCCACGATTTATCAGCGAGTTACAAAATACTTT